CATTATAAACTCAATTATACACAGATGGGTGACAGATGTACTGAAATTCACCCAGATTCTCAAGTTATATACATACTATTCACTTATATGTAGATCTTAAACATTGAAGGTTTGTTGTGCTAATGTCATCAATGTTATTGTCTAGTATTTTCTCGAAGAACAAGCTTCAGAAGAATATATTTGGATGTGATAATTTGGGAAGAATTTGATAATAAGTGACATGAATCAGAATCAAATGAGTCTGTTGAATCACAAGCAGAAACTGTGAACTAGAGTACAAACAAAAATACTTCAATGTACAGGTAATATGTGCCATCATAAAGACGATGATCTTATTGACTGCTTTGTACATGTTTACTGTTATTCGTCCTGCAATTGTGAACTACATACACCCTATTTTCTTTCGGAAATTTTCTTTCAACATGAGTAATCAGGATCAACCTTATACTTAAATTATCCTGTTTGGTTTCACAAAGACATCGGACATTCGTTTGTAGAGTGAGTTCAGCACGAATTAGCAAATAATTGATCAGTCATGTAGACAAATATGGAATATCTTTCACTAATTAGCTTTAACTACAGATGTAGTTAAAGATTTAGCTGTGTGTTTCAACTCACTCATCACCTCCTGTGTGTCCGTCTCCGTGTACCCATTTTGTTGTGTTCTTCTGTGAACATTACACATTTTATTCAAATACGACATCTGGTATAAGAACCACGGTAATTTTCAAGTGAACAGTATATGTTCTATTTTTGAGACCGTCAGAATTATCGACTGTATATCAGACTAATTTAGAAGAAGGACTATCATAAACCACTGCGAAATAATGTTGATCATATTGACAGAATTTTCAATGTTACTGAGATGGTACTATCTAAACAAATACTTGTTTTGATACACTTACCCAACACTTCATAAATGACGTCACCAAGCCTGTTAATTGTGTTTAGTCTATCGACAGTGTCAGTTGTCAACGGTACCGGGATAACTCATCTCCGACTGACAGCTCAAATGCTTCAGATCACATCTCTTCATATCCAATCACGAACATACAAGCAAATACCTTTAGTTCATAAGTAGTATGTCATATCCCAATTAATCACATTCCAATGTCTTCTCATTCCAACTCAGACAAACTCATATAATTGTCTGTTGTCAATATGCATTATACTTGTTGTCAAAGTGAAATCAACATTCATTTGCATACATATACACTTGATAAGTTGCCTGACCAAGTTGTTACTGGGAAACGGTATAACACACGAAATTCGTTAGACATAATTTAAATTAATTTATTGGTGAATAACGAGAAAACGGATGAAGAACAAGTACAAACAGACTGCAAAGATGGGCAATTGGTCGAGATATCAAAGAAAGGCGATCACAGCAACTGTGATAACCATAGGGGCATCACTCATCTCTCAACAGGATTTTGTCAAACAGAAGGAATGACTCCGAAGACACTCAACTTCGAGACTAACAGGCTGGATTTCGTAATGATCGATTGTGTACCGACCAAATCGTGGCACTATGGATCATTATGGAACAATGGATTGGATGGAATTCATCACTCTACATCAACTTCATTGACTACGGGGAAGCATTTGACAACACTATGGAAACTTCTTCGATACTACGGCGTACCTGAGAATATAGTCAACATCCTTCTGAATTCATATGATGGATTAAACTACAAAATCGTTCATGGAGGACAGCTCACAGACTCGTTCGAAGTAAAGACAGGTGTCAGGCAAGGTTACCTACTCTCACACTCTCTCTTCCTCCTAATGATCGACTGAATCATGAAGATGTCAACATCTGTGGGAAAGCATGTGATACAGTGTACAGCTGGGATACAACTGGACAATCTAGAATTCACAGAAGATTTGGCTCTTCTATCACACACGCAACAACAAATGCAGGAGAACACGACCAGTGTAGCAACAGCCTCAGCAACACTAGATCTCAACATAAACGAAAGGAAAGGCGAGATTCTTCGATACGACACATCATGCACCAAACGAATCACACTTGACGGAGAAGATTTGGAAAATGTAAAACTCTTCACATACCTGGGCAGCATGATTGATGAACAAGGTGAATCTGATGCAGATGTGAATGTGTGGATCGGCAAATCAACAGCAGCATGTTTACAACTGAAGAACATCTAGAACTCAAAACAACTTCTAATCAACACCAAAGTCATAATTTTCAATACAAATGTGAAGACAGTTCTAGTGTATGTGGCGGGAACCTGGAGAACTACGGAAGCCATCATTCAGAAGATACAAGTGTTTATAGCAATTGTCGGCGCGACTCTATTTTATGAACGATCTTTGAACAAATCTTCAGTGGCCTTGACAATTATTGGCCAGTCAGAAGACAGTTCGTATAAAGTAAAAATATATTATAAGAAACCAGTGAATTACAGTGGATATTCTTCTTCTACATGATTTAGAAACTTGTTAAGGTTTTATAAAGTTTCAGATGTTTTAAAATCATAATGCATACGATAAAGAAACTCGTCCATATGGCTCCATATTAGTTGTCCTCTGGAGTCGTGATACGGTCTTAAGAACTCCTTCAATCTTGAACACATGGCTTCAATGTTATTAGTATGAACCCCGTTGGTAGGGTCGACAAAATGACGTTTATGCGCCACGGCATGATGGACTTATCCAAGTCTATGAAGGCATCCATACGCTTTCCAGTCATCTGTATATATCGTAGTGCCCAGCCGCACGTATTCCTGTATAATCGGTATTATTGTGCTTGCTTGCCGGTTATTGACCCTCTGAAAATGCCGCTTTTGCGTTGACCGGTCGTAAATTCCAAGTATCTGTCAAGTATATTTACTGAAGTGCTATATACCCATTATCTCTTATACTAAGTCCCCTGTTGTAATTTCGCTCTCACACTACTGTTTCATCTATTTCCAAATACTTCCGACTCCTCCGAATGACTCGTGTAAACGTGTCATTTTAATTGCACATATATCACCACAATACTCATACCATTGGACGGCTGAAGTTTCAATAACATCTGCAAATGATGGAGCCAGTGTTAATGATGCTTTTATAATTCAATTTGCAACTATTATCTTGATTTGCCTCAGTCTCTGTCGCGATCGAGCAAAGAAAGTCCCCGTTCGAGCAGAATTCTTTCTCCAACATAAAGAACATCGAACACAATGTCATCACTATAGTCTGAGCACGGTAATGCAGTCGTTTGATTACCGCAGTCACAGGCAAAGGAACTTCTTAGTAGTCCCATCCCTTGTAGCCTCCAAATGCCCTGATACTGCCGAGAGTGGGGAGAGTCCGCTCTCCCTCACGAAATGCTCTCACACGGCCACGTGTATATAGCCTCTGTCAGGGAATTCCTACTTATGCCTTCTCGTGGCGGCGTGTTGTTTACGAAAATGACGCTTTAACCGGATACCGAACCAATGGTGCACATGGGCTCCAGTATCCTGAAGGAACAAATGGCGTATGAACCAATTGTTGATCACCGGCTACCATGGGAATGCATTGTCTCACGATGCTCCACTGCCTTGTGGATCAGACCTTCAGGTCAAAGGCTCAGGGTGTGGCATTCTAAGTAAACCACCTGTTTCGGTTTGGGCACCCGGGCAGTATCCCAGCTCTCACAAATATCAAATGAGACCTGTGTGGCGCATATGTATTTGGTACCTCCTTGTACCAATATCTATGTGTTAAAATAAAAAAATAAAAAATTGTAGCTGCTCAATAATCACCTCTTCTCTAAAATCAGCTGTAAACCGATCGTACGTGAGCATCAAGTATTGAAACTGGCGCCGTGACCTTGAAATTCCTCAAACGCTTCTAATTGGCTCGTTCATAAATTGAGTCTCGCCACAATTGTCAATGCAAAATACTTCGGATCCGTTCGTAAGACACTATCGACAACAACCTAGTGTGGGAGAGAAAAACCCAGATTCCATCGAAGAAGGAATTCAGGAAGAAGCGCTGGGAGTGGATAGGACACACATTGTGTAATTCATTCAGCTGCGTCAAAAGGCAAGCCCTCACATGTAATGCTTAAGGTCAAAGGAGAAGAGGAAGAACATATTGCGTCGAGAAATAGAGACAGACATGTGAAGAATCAACAACAGCTGGATAGAACTAGAAAGGAAGGCTCAGGAGAATGTTTGTCGGCAGCATGTGCTTCATTGAGAGTAAAAGACGTAAGTAAATAAGTAAGTAAGTAAGTAAGCAGTTGTACAACTCGAGCAAGTGTTGTCATCGAAATGAAACACTTTACTCGCTGATCGATCTTAATACTTCTTCAATGACTTCGTAGATTACTTTAGTTAGTTGTTAATTTTCAGTATGGGGCTGTGAAGATTGTCGAGTTTAGATTAATATATCATAAATGGAGCAACGTCAGACCACCATTGAAGAAGTGGATGTACTGAACGGTCGTGTCATCCTAATATGAGACTCCTCAGTAGTTCTTGTGTTTTCAGTGTTCAGTTGCTTATATAGTTTACCTATATGTCTACTACATGGAACTGAAGTCATCAATATTCAACTTAATTAACCAGTTCTTCTTGTTCACAAGTAATTTACTGATTTAATACAATAAAGTACTTTTAAATAAGTTTGTGTAAGGCCGTAACTACAGCAAGATAAATTTACTACCATTTGTTGTCTAATTATTTTGATCATCATTTCAGACCTGCATTTCTCGGTTAGATGCGCACACACACACACACACAAAGAGCGAGAGCTAGAGAGAGAAAGTCAAACTAGTTATCCAATGATTATGAAAAGAGATTGAGTTGACTGGTTAGTTGTTCATTCCATTTGATACTATAACATTTCTGTATGTTCAAGCACAGCAATTATTTGGCTAGAGGAATAGCATATAAATAAGAACGCATAAATGGTGAAAGATTGAAGCAACTGTCTTGTTATTCAAATTGACTACTTTCATTACAGTTCATTAGAGAACAAGTCGGTATCCAAACTAAGTCATGGAAATCATCGATGGTCTACTATTTATGAAAAGACCTGAAAATCCAAAGCAGATAACTGAAAGAAAGAAAGTTGATTTGGAGAATGGCGAGCATAATTATTCAAAGAACTCTGAAAAGACGTTGAGAAAAGAAGAAGATGCAACGAGTTTTCCGTCAAAATTACTTAAGCATCAATCTCAGTTAGAGAGTCGTCTACTCACTCGTGAAGATCTGATTAATTTAGACAAAATTGAACCTCGTTGGAGATATATTCGAATAGGATTATTAATTGGATTTGGGATTATATTTTTTGGTCTTTTAGCAGCATGTATTGTTTACATAATTGTTGGAGAAAAATGTCCATCTGTGCCCAAATTACCATTTTGGAAATCAACAGTTGGTTACTGGTTAGATGTGTTTGCATTTAAAGACTCTTCTGGCGATTTAGTCGGAGATCTAAACGGTAATGAGTATTAGTGTAAAACCTCTATCACTCAAATGATGATTTTATCCTAATAGGTCTCACATCTGAAGTAGATTACATCAAAACTGTAGTCGGTGCAGGATATGTGATATTGGGTCCCATTACTAAAGGATTTTACACTAATTCATACAATATGCTCGGATTAGTGGAAGATTATGAACAGTTAGATGAGGCAGTCGGCACAATGGATGATTTTCGTGTTCTTTTAAAAAAATTTCACAAAAACGGTATAAAGGTGGTCCTGACTTTCAACTTCAATGCCATTTCCATCAATCATAAATGGATCACAGAGAACAAAGTCAAACTGAATTCGTTTGAAAATTCTCTTAATAATAAAGTAAAGTTATTGTCTTTCTTTCATAATCTCCTCATAATTTATTTAACATAAAGATGTCACGATACGGAAAAGCGATCAATGTAGATATCGGTGATCAGAAGTTTTATTCTGTATTTGGATCACCGAATGTAGATCTAGATTTAACTTCTGCCAAAACTCAGAAAGCAATATTTGTATGTTTCAATGAATCCACTTAATAAACTGTATTATTACCGATAGGATGCGATCCACTTTTGGATGAAAGAAGGAATAGATGGAATTCTCCTGGATAATGCTGCATTTTTTGTTGAAGAAGAAGAAGAAGGGACACAAAGCAACGTAAGTCTACAAATGATAATTCAACGATAATTGTTTGTCCCTTTATAAACTATTCTCTTTTCTTTTACTCTATCTGTATATTTAGCTCGGTTCAACATGGTCGGAAAACTGTCCTAATTCTCAATTATATAGAAATGGAAGTGTGAAATTTGTTGAAATTGTAAGAGAAGAAATGAACAAGTGGATTAAGGAAAGTGGAAAAGAAAAGTAAGTTCGTTATTGATTATTAATTTTGTTAAATTTTGCCAACTAAAACTCAATAATGATTAGTTGGAGACTATGGGTGACATGGCTCAGAATCGATCACAGTGGCGTCGGTGTATACACTCTCTGTCTTCCCTTAAACTAGGAGATTGAAATCGCTTCATATCTTTCTTTCTACGAACTAATTCTTTCTTCCTGTACTGTATCCTTATATGCAATCTTTCATATATCACTACCATTGAAGTAACGACTTCTATGAATCTGGTGTTCATCTTGTTGTGCTAATCAGGTATGGCATCTTGGACCGATGTATATATGTGCTTGTTCCTTCATTGTAGCTGACTGACTGAATGATTGGTTGAACATCAGAGATATTCGTATAAATACAGACCAATGATAGTTTCGACCGTACAGTTTACTATGTTTTTACCGTGAATTTAAGGAATTAAATGAGTAAGGCGAAACTGTCCAAGAATAAACAGGTAAGTAAACAAAGAGTCTTTGTTTATTTGTTTGGTATATATATAGGTTACTTACTCAACGATACTCTGATAGTAAAGTTATGCAGATCAATTCAATAAACTTTCAATGTAGGCAGAATATAGTTTTCTGTGCATCATTTGATAACCTCGAGATTGAAAGACAAACTACGTAGACTATTTGTCTAACTGCTCGTGTAGAATAATTCAGATGTCCCAGAAATTATCATTTTCATGGTTACAGACACCTACATCATATCAAAGTAAATGTGTAGTTTAACGATGTCAATAATTCTAGTCTACTCCATTTGATATTAATGAATCTTACATCTAACATGAATCAGTCATCTACAATAATAAATCATATCAATAGTTATCTGCGTAAATCTGTCAGATAGAGAATCGTTCAACTGGTAGGAACACTAGTTGTTTAGAAGAAAAAAAACTGGATCTTTATGTTGAAGTGAAATATGTCCAAAAGCTTTTTGTACCTTGGCTAAATTCAAGTTCAACAAGTCACTTTGATGATAAAATGGTATCATTCGACTAACATACCAACAGTTGTCTTCTTTATGTTTATGAATTTCAATGTATCTTATCCTAATTTACTAATTGGTTTTTAATTCATACCACTCTATACATTACTCGAATGACGTAGTGAGACTTCATCAGTTGAGATGGCTTGGACATGTGTTACGTATGCCCAACCACCGACTGCCTTGATTTGCGATGTTTTGTTGCATAGGAGTAGATTAGAAGAAAGCTAGGGGCAGCCAAACCAAAACATGGCATAAGTCCATGAAGTCACTGACAAGTAGACTGAGTCATATTGGTAGGTGTAGACTACCTGGTTTCGCGGACCACGAGATGATAGCAACCGATGGTTAGAGACCCTGAATGACATGGCTCAAAATCGTTTGCAATGGCGCAGGTGCATCCACTCTCTGTGTTCTCCCAAATTCTAATCTTCTGAATTCTTCATGTCCCTTTCTTTTTTCTCTTTCCAAATTTATTTCACTGGATTATACGCCTTGAATAACATCGTCAAACCCTAATTTTTCTGATTACAGCTTGTAATTTTACTACATCTAGCACTGCAGGATTTGAATCGACCACTGCATCTCTGTGCTAATGTGGTGTGTCAACTCGAACTGATATACGTACGTACGAAGTTCTACGTTGTTACTGAATGACTGACTGACTGATACATTACTCAATCATCAACTAACCCATTGTTCTACTTTGTAATTACTTCATTATTTCTATCATTCCATGTTATCTATACTTATTACGATTAACAAGCTCATAATTTTAAATGGTCCATAAGAAGATTCATGTGAACATCTCATACTAGCGTGTGTGATGGAAGAGCCAAATCATCTAAGAAGTTTAAATCGTTTAATTGCATGCAAGCTGTCTATTGTATTTCATGATTCCCCTCCGATGTCGAAGTCTTTATAATCCATCGAACCATCAGAAGGAAGAGAATCGCTCCGAGTAAGAAGCATTGTATGCCTCTATCATCTGTCTTCTATGCACGACTTTGGACTGTAGTCCATTGTGTGAGTTCCGTATGATGTTGACATTCTACTCAAGTGCAGGTATTTACCATAAACTTGTAAAATCAGATACAAATCTATCCAAAGGAATGTTCTTCATTCATATTTCTGGAAGTTGTTAAACTATCAGTGATTAACTGGTATTCACATTGAACAATTAATTATTTAGACATTAATTATAATATTTGTTACAAAGATGATTGTGACTACACTTTATCCACATAATCCCAAACACATATGTATTGTATATACAATATATTCTACAGATTATTGGCTGTGAACTCTGGTGATACAGGTTGTGGTGTGGGCGATAATCCAGATCCAATGTTGATGTTCAGAGATGTGGCTGATTTAATAATCAGTCGTGAATTGGTTTTCAATAGGGGTAGAAGTGAAATGCGAGAATCATTCGACAAAACAACCATACAGAAATATTCTACATATTCAGACTCGGATAAGGAGAAATTAGGATTGATAGCAAGTACTTCAAATAATCCAACAGATTCAGATGTGATTCAGCTTGCATTAACATTATTATTACCAGGTATGTAAACATGATTATAGCATCTGTTTATATGAATTAAAACTATTCTTCTATTTTGATATTCTAGTCTTCTAATGCAAATTAATTCATCATTGAATATATGAAATTCACAAATTGTGGGACATTCATAGCAACACTATTGAATGACAAGGACGGTTCAAATGGATACACACTACAAGATGTCATGATGAATGTTTATGAAAACACATTTTCCAACTGCCTGCAAATTCCAAATACCAGAACATTAATCCAACAATCACTGACGACGTCGTCAGGTAGACATGATTGATGATTTTAATACATTTTAATGGTATCTTGTTCTGTGAACACAATGTTTACATTGTGAATTCCATCATGAAACTAAGCAAGAAGTGTTTAATCTGTAATCAATCGCAATTCGATAGTGTAATGTGTTTAGCTTACTCAATTATTATACAATATATTCTTCACATTTATAGGACAACCAATAATTTATTATGGAACTGAGACGGGTATCAATAACATGGAATTATCTTTTATTCCGGAAAAGTTATATCCAAAAGGGAAACGTTACAATAATGAAGAGGCATTTTGGTCTACACGATCTCATTTACCAATGCCATGGGATTTCAAAGGGAGGAGATTTTCAGCAACAATAAATGACTCTAGTTTTAGTGACTATTTGGATGGTTATTCACATAAGGAAACCGTTGAAGTAAGTTATATTAGTGACTTTCATATATTAAAACCTTTCAAGTCTAATATAAAGTAACTGACAAGCTTTATTCAATATCTATAAGGTACTAACCTAGTACAGAGTGAGTTGGAGAATGCTGATCAGTGGCCTATGCTCCATTGTGAGTAACAGACGTAAGTAAGTAGGGATACCCAAGCATAGAAAATAGTAGTTCAAATGATGTGTCCACTTCTCCAAACATTCAGTATTTCCAATCTGATGGCTGATGATTAAAGTAAACAGAATGGAATAAGTTGGTCATCTGTTTACTACTAATGACCAATTATGATAGTGTTGAGCTAAACTTTTCATCATTCATAGTGAAATTATAAAGATTATTCATGGTATTCAAGATTCCTTCATTCAACATTCGTTAGGATGACAATGTGAAATGAGAAAACGTTGTGTGAATTATGAATTGAAAAATTCAATGATATTTAATCGTGATATACTGCCCGTAATCTGAACATGAACAGACATTGATAGATTCCAGGAAAGTTCACTTTATACCATGTTACAACTTGAAATGATTGATGAAATAGTGCAAACCGAATGAAACTCTGGTTACAAAGTGAAGTCATGAATGAACTCACCTGATAACCGACTTACTTTTCAATCAATTTAAGCTACCGTTTCAGTGAATGTAGTTGTATGTTTATAGACATACAAGTCTTGGTTGGTATTGAACAATTTGTGATAAATTGATGGATGCTTCATTTGAAATGAATACCATATGTGAAAGTATTTATTTTGGTTGACAGAAATAGTTTAGTCATATAGTACTGTTGTAATGCAAACACTTGTACAAATCATTCTGAATGTGACAATCTTTTTGTTCTTTGAAGATTCAGCTTGCTGAAGGAAATAATCTATCAAAATTTAATCTCGTTAAGAAATTGGTGACTTTACGTCAGCATCATAGTTTGAAATGGGGAACAATGGAGCGGATAAGTTTCGGTGAAGTAAGTGATTTGAAAGTTTACTTTTTCTGAGGTAGTTTTCGCACGCAACCACTGTGAGTTAATGTTTAATAGGAATGTTCAAAGCCAAAAATCACATCACACATCAATAATCACCATAATCAATTTCATGAGAGATAAGCGACTCTTCAACTCTGTCGCTTCATTTTATTATATCGAATTCCGTTATCATCTATTCGTTACATAACGATATTGGCATAGGCATCCATAAGATAGTTGATAATGTTAAGTAAAAAAGCTATGCCAATGAAGAACTTGTTTGGAGTTGTTGAGCTAAAGCTTCATTAACCACTATGTTGAAACATTTGTTTCAATATGTTCACTTATTCTAGATGGTTATTTCATGAACAAATTAAGGAAAATGTTGTTCACTCATTCACTCATTATCACCATTCAACATAAGGACTTGAAGTATTAAGTTCATGACTGCCGAAGGAACTTGGCTTTCACCATGAAACGTCATAACATTTCTAAATGAAGACCTTCTAACTCCGAAGGCAGATGTTAAGTGGTTTGAATTATTTTTTCTGATTGGCGTTTTTCAACGAGTTATTTTTCTACGGGATAAGGTCTCTAACTCCATACCGAACGCTATTACTTTATCTGAGTTTGGGACCGGCACTAACCTCAGAGGGGCTCCAGATGGAGTTAAAACTGTTCAATATCTAAGTTTATATATTGTTTGAATAATTTAATTTTAGGAATCGTCGGATCATGTAGAAGCATTTGCACGAAAGGCAAAAGGATTTTCAACATTCATTGTGGTAATATTGAAGCAGTTAATGGAGGATTATCTTTTGGATCTCACTTCTATTTGTTCATCAGTTACACCGAAAATGATTTATCCTTCACATCCACATTTACAAGTTGACATTCCATTAACAACTTCAAAAATATACATTCCGAAAAGGGACAATGCCAACTACATCTTAGTATTTCATTGTAATTGATTAGATCTTCATTGTATTTGAAATCCTCTAATCAACATTTCAGATTGATTCAACTCTACTGTGAAATAACCATGTGTAGTCTCATTCACTACTCTTTTTGCTGTGACTTTCTACATTCATTTTGTTGGTGTATTGAATTTGACGTAAAATTATCTATGGTGTGTAATTGTTTTTATTCTATCGTAAATTTCTGATTGTCTTGGAGATTGTGAAATTGTCTGTCAACATACCTCGAAACAGAGAGGAAGTGACTATTCTGTGAAGATTCTTTGTGACATTCAGTGACGAAAGACTGTTAGTTAGATGTTGTATTGTGTCAGCTCCACGTGTTTATATATTGATTAATGTGATTAGTGAAATATACACCATTTTGTAAGTTCTTAATATGTGTTGTAGTTCTTCTGTTGTACTTTGGGGGTAAGGTAAAACTACGGTATCAATCTAAGAAATTTCATTAAAATGGTTATTTACAGAAATACAGTTTCTTTCTGAGATAATCATCTTGATTGGTCTTGTGAAAAGATATAATGTGATATATGACTAGATTTAGACTACTACAGGATTTCGTTACATCAAGTGTATGCTAAACATCTGAGTGGTTCCCTGAGTTGACTCATCCACTATGTGCAGATGTCGTTTAAACAATGAGTCAATTTTCATTCAAATAACTGTTAGGGATCCGACACTATCAATTAATTCACAAAAACCAGATGCAGCACGATTACAGTCGGTCAAAGAGTAATTCAGTGAAGTATTGCAGTTTGAAGACATACGCCCGTTCCAAACCTAGTGATTATCACTTTTACATGTAGTTCCGAATAATATTGTTAATGTGCTTACAAGTCTTGTTGTCTAATTAATCCATGGTTTGACTTTGAATGGCGCACATTTTGTTGGCTTGTCCAGTGAGCAGTACAACAGATGATGAGCACCATAAAAACGTCAGTCACAATTCTGTTTCACTTGTGAAGTGAGAATAGAATCAACATCAATCTTTGCAATTCCTTATTTTAAGTTGTTTCGGATAGTTGGTAGGCACACCGGTTATTATAGTCGTTTAGAATAGCACTCAGGTTATGACTGCTCATCGCCGAATCCAAATAGGATGTTAGTTTCATTTGATTCACTGGGAAATATCTACAATCGGTTCATTCCTAACTGTGTGGCCATATATATTTCAACTACCAGATGTCTGTTTACGTCGATTCTCTTATCCTCTAAAATTATCAACAGAACCTGTTCAGCTGTATGAAACTTGCAATAGGAAACATGAGACACACTTGTTTAACGAACAATTCTATATTTTGGATAGATCAGTTCTCAAATATGTATTACTGCAAAGTGACAATCTATGATTTGCTTCACACATATAGTTGCTAGTTTATGAACTTGAATAGATCATGAACAAGTATTCGGATAGGATAGCATGAATTCATGTTATTTCTCCAAATCCTCATCAGCTACTTAAAAACCATGAAATGTTATTACCAAAACTGCACACAAAAGTCAACTTACATGCACAAGTGAAGTCGATTGAAAGTATATACACATCATCATGAGGATTAAAGGATAAAATGAAATTTATGAAATGAAAGAATTGCAAACAAATTCATTGTACACGAGAAGGTTGTGCAACATGAAAGATAATAATGACAAAGATCAAATTGTGGTGTATGTTACATATGTCAACAGACATATATAGTAGGTGACACTAACCGAAAGCTGAGTGGCTGGCAGCAGAAGGTTAAGAAGATCGAATTGAAGTAAATAGAAACGGAAATAGAAAGGAATTGTGAATTGGAAGAATGTAAAAAACAGTTGATGTAAGATTTGCAAATGAAGCATTCAATGTATGGCTCTCGTATTTTTTGAAGATATTCTGTACGTAATAATAAACTGGTTGTCCCCATCTGAGTTTTATACCACTACAATAGAACTAATGATGAATGAATGGAATTTATGAATCATGCTGTGTTTTTCTTTCATTTCTGTTATTACTCCGTCTGCTTAAAACAGAATGAATCGGTCTGTGAGTGACAATGTTACTAAAGACAAATGGAGGATGAGTTTCTTCAAAACTTTATGTTCTGGTAGAAGACAAGTGGCTTTGGACTCTTTTGAATAGTTTCTAGATAAACCATTGTTGTGTACAAGAAGAACACAAAACTTAATTAAATTGTGTTTGAACAAATGACCAAGATTTTTACATTAGAAAATCTCTCATGTTGGAGCAGAATAACGGATGTAATTTCACAAACAACATTATACTGTTTATTTCAAAGGTTTCCATGAGAAAATATTATCAATAGGATTTCAAGAAGGAATGTCCAAAAGAAGCATGAAACAAAACAACAATGATAATCTACATAAGGAACTTTATCATCAACAATCTGAACACAATTATCTGAAACGAAATAATCTCACTTTACACTATTAGTAAAGTATTTAGGCTGCCACATATCTGGGCAGCATGATTGATGAACACAGTGAATCTGATGCAGATGTGAATGTGTGAATCGGCAAATCAACAGCAGCATACCTACAACTGGAGAACATCTACAACTCAAAATAACTGTCTATCAACCAACACCAAAATCAGAATATTCAATACAAATGTGAAGACAGTTCTACTGTATGGGGCGGAAACTTGGAGAATTACGAAAGCCATCATCCACAAGATACAAGTGTTTATTAACAGTTGTCTATGCAAAATACTTCGAATCCGTTTGTTAGACACTATGAGTAACAACCTATTGTGGGGGATAATAATCTAGAACAAGTCAAGAACAAATCACATGAGGAAGCACTGGGGTAAGCACTTGACTGCGTCACAAGGCGTGCCCTCCCTTGGAATCTGCATGGCCAGAGGAGAAGGGGAAGACCAAATAATTCACTACACCGAGAAATGGAGATGGACATGAGAAGAATGAACAACAATAGGATAGAAGTAGAAAGGAATTCTTATAAGAGAGTGTGTTGGAGAATGCTGATCGGTGGGCTGTGCTCCATTGGGAATAACATGCGTAACTTCAACTTCAACAACTTGGTTTCAATGCTATTATACACTGAAGCTCTTTTCAGTCTGCTACAAAAGTTGCCAAATAGGTGTACTGTGATCATCATGTAAAACAAAACACTATACTTTCTGGTCTTATGGACGATTCATTGTTTCAATCATTAATCACGTTAATGAATAATACAAAAATACAATCTAACTTATCACAAAATCAAGGGTTTGTTAACGTCTAATAATCAAGATATTTCTGATGTAAAGTATGTATACTTCTTTTGTTTTTATGGAATAATATTGATGTTTTTAATTTGTAAAGAACTCCGTCTGGAGCCCTTCTGCGTCTACTGCCAGTCTCATGACCGGATAAAGGAGAACGGTTGGGCAGGGAGGTTTAGCGACCTCATCCCGTAGAAAACTAACTCGCTAAAAAACTAACCAGAAAAATGAATTCAAGTAATTTGCAAAGATTTTTTAAAAGGACAATTCATAACCAATGAGTCGTATTATTATCTCACAACTACATTTTTGCTATCAGAATTCTTTTCTTTTTAATTCAAATACTCAAATTATTGAGTAAATGATGTTCAAGATTCCCAGGATGATTCCCAACATTATTCAAGACACTCCTTGTAAAACATCGTTCTTGGTTTCTATCCCTTATGTAACTATGAACACGGTCAGTCATTCAGTCAGTCAGTAACAACGTAGAACTTCGTAAGTAAGTGTATCAGCTCAAGTTACCATACCACATTAGCACAGAAATACAATGATCGATTAAAATCCTATAGTGGTAGAGATAGTAAAAATGTAATCAGTAATCAAAAAGGGATATGAAGAATTCAGAAGATTATAATTTTCTTTTGGGGGGCGGAATACAAAAAATGGAACTCTATACAACTGATAAGCTCTAAAATTAAAACTAGTACAATCTTCTTGTATGAATTCACCATGAATATGAATTGATTCAATTAAAAACCTTAAATTCATTATCACATTTCTCATTTTTAAATAATACACTTTGACTCATGATCTCATCTATTGAAGTTACTATAATATCCACATAAACCGCTACTGATAATATTTATCATCATGTGCTAACACTAGTGACTGTCGTCAAGAGTGATTTCCTAGAGTTCTAGTAAGAAACCGTGACCAGTGAGTTTCAACCAGGTCTGTTTTGAGATATCAACTCACTGAAGACAATGATGGACGTCGGCGCTCAATTTTCATGAACTGGTTGAAGTTAGACATTAACATCACTGAATGCCAGCCAGCTCAGTGATCTAGATATTAAGTGCTCGTGCACGCGAAACGGATACGTTCTGGATTGGAATTTCGCGAGACGGGATCATGGAATCCCATACTCGAACAAAATAGCCGTCTAGTCCTTCCAGATTTTTCATAGTAGTCTAACTTTAATTAAATCATGAATTCATTGATGACAATTTATTACAATCTCTACCAAAAACCCCTCTCTGATAATAAATAAATTTTGCTGATTATTTAATTTTCCCACCTCAATTTTTTTTTGAATAATATAAACCAATCAGAATAGAGTATAATAATTGTTTCTGTAATTTTGTTGTTTTATAAATGTTACGCACTCACACACACACACATGCACACACACACGCACACAAGATAATCAACAACAACAAAAAACAACACACTTTGTTACTCTATTTATGATTATAAAAGATCCCTTTTGCCATTTTTATTCATTTATGTAATACATAGTAACAGGTTGATATTGTTTCATTACGTAATCATCAATTACATAAGTAAATAGTCTTATACAATATAGTACATACCATTATATAAAAATAACCAAAAGTAAGTGAAATGTTTCATGTTAACTATGGGGGAGGGGGAGTTTTATTATGTAGAGATTGTAGTAATAATGTTTTTTATTTAATCGTTGAATTCATGAATCGATTAAAGCTTGATCACTTTGAAAAGTCCGAAGTTATTGGGTTCGAATCTTATC